TGACCTGACAGCCTTACTACATAATAGGGCTGTGGTCCTTTTTTTTTTTTTTTTTTTTTTTTTCGGGCTCATTGCAACTTCTGCTTCTCAGGTTCAAGCAATTCTCCTGCCTCAACCTCCTGAGTAGCTGGGATTACAGGCACCCCCCATCATGCCCGGCTAAATTTTGTATTTTTGTAGAGATGGAGTTTCACCATGTTGGCCAGGCTGATCTTGATCTCCTGACCTCAGTGATCCATCTGCCTTGGCCTCCCAAATTGCCGCAATTACAGGCATGAGCCACTGTGCCCGGCCCTTTTTCTCTTGATTATAAATGTAAATACATGTTTATTATTTTCATAATTGGGATACATAAAATATAAGAAAATTAAAACAATCATCACTATTAATATTTTGATATGGGTACGATTTTTGCCTATATATACATCACAGGTACGAATACACTTTTTAAAAAGTTTAAAGCCAGGCGTGGTGGGTCACGCCTATAATCCTAGCACTTTGGGAGGTTGAGGCAGGTGGATTACCTGAGGTCATGAGTTTGAGAACAGCCTGGCCAACATGGTGAAACCTTGTCTCTACTAAAAATACAAAAATTAGCCAGGCATGGTGGCTCACACCTGTAATCCCAGCTACTGGGGAGGCTGAGGCAGGAGAATTGCTTGAGCTCGGGAGGCAGAGATTGCAGTGAGCCCAGATCACGCCATTACGCTCCAGCCTGGGCAACAGAGCAAAACTTCATAAACGTTTGAAATAGTATTGTACATACTATTTTCTCAATAGGTTATAAACATTTGCCTATATCATTAAATATTTAAATGCATGTTTATAATGGCTGTATATTACCCTGTGTCTCATGTACTAGATCATTTTAGCAAATAGGCCATTTTTGAACCTTTGGGCTTTGTGTGATAAATCTTTGTGTGTATCTGATTCCTTATACTAAATTCTTAGAAGTGCCTTTCATGGGGCAAAGGAGGTGTATGTTTTCAAAGACCACCAGGATGATTCACTAGCCCCTGTTCTTCCCCTTGCAGCAGCCCACTCACCCAGTGTACAACATCGGACCAGACAAGGTGATCCAGGCCACTACATACTTCCTGCAGAAGCCAGTCCCAGGTTTTGAGGAGCTTAAGGATGAGACATCGGCAGAGCCTGCAAGTGACTAGACGACCTGGGTCTCTGCAGCTCTGTGCTCACTCATCTCCCCAGTCAGACAAGGTTTATACGTTTCGATACATAATGCGTCCCGTGCTACACAAGCCTTAGCCACATTGGAGCTGTTGTTCTCTTTGTCGTTTCTTGTCAAACACAAACAAAACAAAACCAATGGCTCTGCATTTGGAGAACACAGTGGCTGGTTTTAAAAATTCTTTCCACACCTGTCAAACCAAAAATTTGTCAGCCCATGTGGTGTGGTTGAACAGTGCACGCTGGGAGGAAGCAGCCCCTCCCTACCAGCTCTCCAGCCAGGATGATCACACAGAGATGAATGGCATCTGAGTGTTATGGCATCCAGTGCCACTGCTGACTCCCACTTGCACGCCACCATTCAGTCACCAGACTGGGTGCCCTCCCATGGGTGGAATAAGTCTGCTCCAGGCCGGGCTTTGGGTCCCACCAAGATGAGTTCTCTGGAAGACTGTGGTGGGGTTGCACCAGGAGGTGCCTCTGCGTCTTGACTCCCACCCTGCTCATTTGCAAGGGAAAGGAGCTGGAGGTGGGGGGAGAAAGGTCTCCTTCAGTTAGGAGTCCCTCCCCTTCAACACTGGAGAACTGAGCCTTGCATCTCTCCAGGGTCCAAGTCCACGCTTGGTGCACAGGTAAGACTTGCTTCAGCCCCAGGTGTGGCGACTTAGACTTGGGAAATAATTATGAGTAGAAAAGGAACCTTGAGTTCAACGTGCCATAGGAAGCAGCCCTCCAGTGCCCACCAACCTCACTCCTCCCCATCATGTACCATGAAACCCCCTTTGCTGGCCTCAAGGCAGTGCCTGCAGGCTGAGGCCATTCTGTGGGTTTCTGTCTTTCTTCCACCAGACTCCAAGCCCACTCTTCTCCAAGACAATGTTGTCTTTTCTTACCCAGAGTATTAACACTACTAAGTCTTTCACCTTAATTTATGACTCAGGATTTATTCACGTCCTGCTCACTCTAGGCTCACAGGAATAAAATCAAGTGCTAGACAGGCTCGCTGCCACTAAGGCACTAGCCTTGGGAGCTGGTGGTGGCAGCAGGGGGTGCCGCCCAGCGTGCTGAGTCCTGGCTGTGCCTCCGCTGTGCTGCACATTGAGCCCCTTCTCAGTCAGTGGGGTGTTGAGTTGGGTCATCTGTCCACTGACCTGGCCTTCATGTAAGCAGCTGTGGGCTGTGGGCAGACAGGAGCTCAGAGATGCAGCAATGAGGCTCTTAGAAAAGCCTGGCCATGTGCTGCCTCCAATTCCCTTTTGCTTTGACCTATTGGGCTATTACCTCCTTGAAATAATAAAAGAATAACATTTTCTATGACTTCTCTTATTTGTGATCTGTACCAAGAAAATGCCCAATGGTAGGAGCTATTGGGTTGCTCATGGGATGGTCAGTCTCCTATGTGCGGGATTCCAGACTATTCATATCGATGGTAACAAAGAACAACCCGAGTTCCATCCTCACATTCTGTCTCCTCCAGTAGAGGAAGCCATGGCCCTAACAGAGTGGGAAGAGTTGTTTTCCAAGCTCCCTGGGGTAATTCAATGTGCTTTGTCCCAGCCCTCCACACACTGCATTTCATGGTCTGTCTCCAACAGACAGGACTGTGCCCAGTAGCCCGAGAGCAAGCTGATTCAGCAAGGGTGGGTGGATGTCCTGGCCAGAGGCAGGGGCTGTCACAGGGACAGACTGGAACTCTGGTTGCTTGGTTTTCCCTTCCTCTGGCAAGAGACCCTCTCCCAAGGGAGGCCAAGAACATGGATGTCCTGTGGCCTGACCCTCCAGAAGATGGTGTCCTTAGAAGATGCCCAAATCCACATAAATAAGCAAAATGCGCATCCAGGAATGTAATTCCTGCCCCCTGTGCTGTTTTTGCCCTGTTAACAAAGGTTTGCACCGCAAGGCAACATATTCCATCACTATAACAAAAGGCAAAATCCTCTCAGCACCAGAAGCCTCAAGGTATTGTGTGATTAATAATAATTAATGTGGTTAACAGAACGGACTGCTTCAGTCTGAACTGGCGTTTTACCAAGGAGGGATCTGAGCTGGGCCCCGAAGGGTAGGTAAAGTTAGTCTGGGTAGAGAAGTGAGAGGGTTATTTCAGGAGAGTTTACACTGGCAATAAGACATCCTTTTCAAGAGGGTTTCCTGACAGCCTCCAGGGTGAGTCCTAGAGATTTGTTTATTCATTTGAGACAGGATCTTGCTCAGATGCACCCAGCCTGGAGTGCAGTGGCACAATCATGACTCACTGCAGCCTTGACCTCCTGGGCTCAGAAGATCCTCCTGCCTTAGCCTCCCAAGTAGCTAGGGCCACAGGTACATACCACCACAACTAGCTAATTCTTGTATTTTTTGTAGAAATAGGGTTTCACCATGTTGCGCAAGCTGGTCTTGAAACTCCTGGGCTCAAGCGATCCTCCCACCTCAGCCTCCGAAAGTGCTGAGATTACAGGTGTGAGCCACCGTGCCTTCGGAGAGTATGTGAATCCTTGAGTAGACGACATTTATGTAGCATTCAAGGTGGCTTACCCCAAATAAAGGCTTTATCCCATCAATAAACACAAAACTAATACAGAGTGCTGTATCCAGATGGGCCCCAGTTTCACCTGTAGACTCCATCTCAGACCCACCTTGAATACCAGATAAGTTGGGAAGCCTGCCAGACCCTACTGGAGGCAGAGCATAAAGAGCTCATGGGTAAACAGGGGAAACCCCATGAGATAACAATACCAGTAGCCAATAGTTCTAAACTGCTCTCCCTTCTTGGTATTACTAAGCATTCTTCTGTATCTTTCATGACTGGGATACTTTTCATATAATAATAGTGTCAAGTGACAAATATATTCTTTGTCAGTAAGGCTTGGACCAAGCATTCTAGTCACCCACGTGCACTGCTTGGTGGTATTTACTGCCTTTGAATAGGAAGGAGAGTATAATAAGATACCATTGCAACTGGTAGAAAACTTGGCCCAAATTGGCTTTTAAAGCAAAGAGACTATCTGTTGACTCTGAATTGCAAAGTCGAGGAATTTGGCTGGCCGTTCGGTTCTTCACCCTCCCTCCATCTCTACATTGGCTTCAATCTCAGGTCCTCTATGGGTTAGAGTACCAATAGCTCCAGATCCTACATCCTCTTGGGGTGAAGTTAGCAGACAAGCCCACCTGGTGCTGCCCCAGCCTTCCTTCCCAGCAAGTGTCATTGTGTTTCACTGGCTTTAATCAAACCAAGTGCCTTTCCAAGAAGCAGTCTGGTGGCCTGGAGAATACAGTCCACCAGTTGGCTGAAGTCTTGGTCACATGCCTCTCCCATGAGAGGGAAATGAGGCTTCATCAGAAGCATGCAGTTTTTGAGAAGGAATGAAGCCCCAAATGCAAATTAGGTTTGTTGCCAAAGAGGTAAATGGATACTAGAGAGGCAAACAGCCATTGCTGTCAAACAGTGGGTTATTACTGGGACAGAAGCCTGTAGAGACATTGTTAGCATCCACGTGACTCTTCCCTACCTATGGCAGCCAAAAGGTTTGCCTGGGCTTGGTGTCCTCATACCTCCAGGCCCAGGCCCTGATTGGCTAAGCCAATCTGTCTGTCTGTCCGTCCGTCCGTCCGTCTGTCCGTCCGCCCGTCTATCTATTTAGAGGTGGGAGTCTTGCTCTGTCAACAGGCTGGAGTGCAGCAGTGCAATCTCGGCTCACTGCAACCTCCACCTCCCAGGTTCAAGTGATCCTCCTGCCTCACCCTCCCAAGTAGCTGGGATTACAGGTGTGTGCCACAATCCCCAGCTATTTTTTTTTTTTTTCAGTAGAGATGGGGTTTCATCATGTTGACCAGGATGGTCTTGATCTATTGACCTCGTGGTCCGCTCACCTCAGCCTTCCAAAGTGCTGGGATTACAGGCGTGAGCCGTCATACCCAGCCTAAGCCAATCATTCTAATTTCTGTCTTTGCCCCAGTAATTTGTTCAGGTTGGGAGTAACTCAGGCCTAAGCCAGTCAGCATCCTTGCCCCAGTGATCAAGTCAGAGCAAAAGCATGTGACCTAAAGAAAGAGATGTCATGGATGCTGTATGACAGGGAGAAAAGCAGCTCGTTCCTATTAGGGGATGGTAGAATGTGTGGCCTGGGTGTCTTATAACCATTTTTCTACCTAGAAGGAAGGCAGCATACAAAGACGCTCCGAGAGACTGAGAAACATGGCCCTGATCACATGGCTCCCGAGGCCCATGTGGCCTCTGGGTTTTCAGTTATATAAGCCATTGTGAGTTGGACTTACTATTACCTGCAACTGAAAGCAACCTATTACAGTCATATCACTTAATGACGAGAAAAGCATTGTCAGGTGATCTGAGAAAAGCATTGTCAGGTGATCTCGTCGTAGTGTGAACATCATGGAGTGCACGTACACAGACCCAGACGGCAGAGCCTATCGCACGCCTAGGCCATATGGGGTAGCCAGTAGCTCCTAGGCTACAAACCTGTGCAGCTTGTCACCATACTAGATACTGTAGGCAACTGGAACACAGTGGTATTTGTGAATCTAACGTGGAAAAGGTACAGTAAAAATACAGTATTATGATCTCATGGGACCACTGTTGTACATGTAATCTGTTGTTGACCGAAACATTATGTGGCCTGAATATATACAAAACTCTACCACCAATTAGCTCCAAGACCAAGGCCTTACCTGTTGCTTTAAAAGTGCTGACCACTCTTGCCTCATCTACTCAAACAATAACCCTTAAGATAGCCCCTCCTGGTCTACCGCCTCTCATTGGATCCTTGACTCACCTTGTGAGTGAAACAAGTGTATTATCTGCCTTCTACAACTGGAGAAACAGGTTGGAGAGCTTAAGTGAATCACCCAAGATTTCCCAGCTGTCAAGTGGTGGGGCCGGGGCCGGGGCCCGGCCCAGGCCCAGGCCCAAATCTCCTGCCTCCAAAGCCCATGCTATTCTATCACCTCAGGCCTCTGAAGGAAGGTGAGAGGTCTCCGGGAATGGCAGGCAGTGGTGAAACATGCTTGGTTTACCTCCAGGCTGGATGACTGAGGCCCTGAATGCCAGCTCCCATCTGTCACTAGGTCGAGGATGGTGACAGCAAATAGCAGGGCAGGCCCCTCACCATTCTGATGAAGTCTCCACTTGCCACCAAGTGTGTGGCATAGTGATACTTGCTACACCAGGTATATGCCACACCAGTAGAGTGTGATGCTATGTGGCTCAGTGAGGCCGTGATGAGTCCATCTTCCCGGGAGCTGACCAGAGCCAGACAGCAGCCAGCTTTCTCCAACCTGGCCCAGGTACATCTAATCGGTTCCTGCACATCCTCTTACTTCTCTGCAGTAACCCGCCTTGCCTCTGTTTACCACCTACTGCAGATCTGGGGCCACGTGGCCTCACATTCCTTCCTCCTGCTTCTCTGGCACATCCAAGAATAAAACCAGGCAGGGCAGGGACAGGGCACTCATCACTAGCCCAGCCCATGAAGAAATACAGCACTCTCAAAATAAAAACAAGAATAATGCATTTTTAGGTCAGGTGTGATGGCTTATGCCTGTAATCTCAACAATTTGGGAGGCTGAGGCTGGAAGATCATTTGAATTCAGGGGTTTGAGACCAGCCTGAGGGACACAGCCAAACTCTCTCTCTACAAAAATAAAAAAATTAGGTGTGGTGGGACACACCTGTGGTTACAGCTATTTGGGAGACTGAGATGGGGGGTCATGTGTGTCTGGGAGGTCAAGGCTGCAGTGAGCCATGATTGTGCCACTGCACTCCAGCCTGGGTGACAGAGCAAGACCCTGTCTTTAATTTTTTTTTTTAAAGCATTTTAAAAAATAAATGTTTCCGAGTAGTTTGAGATTGACAGAAAAATTGCAAAGATAGTACACAGAGTTCCCACAGACCCATTAGTCAGTTTTCCCTATTATTAACATCTTCCACTAATAGGAATTTGTCATAATGAATGAACCAATTTTGTTACATTACTAACAAAAGTCCATCTTATTTGAATTCCCCTAGGTTTTACCTAATGGCCTTTTGCTGTCCAAGGATCCCATCCAGGACACTACGTTACACTGAGTTGTCATGTCTCATGTGTCCTTAGACTCCTCTTGGTTGTGACAGTTTCTCATTCTTTTCTTGTTTTTGATGACTTTGACAGTTTTGAAGAGTAGGGCCAGGTATTTTGTAGAACATCCCTCAGGTGGGATTTGTTTGATGTTATCCTCATGACTAGATGGGGTTATTTTTTGTTTTTTTCAAGAGACATTGTCTTGCTCTGTCACCCAGGCTAGAGTACAGTGGATCATAGCTCACTGCAGCCTCAACCTCCTGGGCTCAAGCAGTCCTCCTCGTCAGCTTCCCGAGTAGCTGGAACCACAGGCACACACCACCATGTGCAGCTAATTAATTTTTTTTTTTTTTTTTTTTTTTTTTGTAGAGGCAGGCTCTTGCTATGTTGCCCAGGCTGGTCTTGAACTGCTAGGCTTAAGTGATCCTCCTATCTTGGCCTCCCAAAGTACTATGATTACAGGCATGAGCCACCGTGCCCAGGCCATGCACTACAGTTTTTTGTAGGAAGGCCACAGAGGTAAAGTACCACTCTCATCACCCATCAAGGGTACATACCATCAACATACTTCATCATGTTTATGCTGGTGTTAGCTGGTGTTACCCTTCATCATCTGGCTGAGGGAGTTTGTCAGGTTCCTCCATAAGGTTACCTTTTCTCCCTTTCCTGAATGTATCCTTTAGAAGGTAGTTACTATATGCAGTTCACACTTAAGAAGTAGGGTGCTGGCTCACACCTGTAATCCTAGAACTTTGGGAGGCCAAGGTGGGTGGATCACTTGAGGTCAGGAGTTTGAGATTAGCCTGGCCAACATGATGAAACCCCATCACTACCAAAAATACAAAAATAAGCTGGACGTGGTGGCACACACCTGTAATCTCAGCTACTCAAGAAGCTGAGGCAAAAGAATCACTTAAACCTGGGAGGTGGAGGTTACAGTGAGCCGAGATCACACCACTGCACTCCAGCCTGGGTGACAGATCCAGACTCTGTCTCAAAAAAAAAAAACAAAAAAAAAACAACCCAAAAGAAGTGGGGAGTTATGCTCCACATCCTTGAAGGCAGAGCACCTACATAAATGATCTCTGGAATTCTACATGGGAGAAGTTTATTCTCAATTTATGTATTCAATCATTTCTTTATCACTATGGACTCAAATATTTATTTTATACTTACTGTGTTTCAATGCTATTTATTTTGTTGCTTAAATTGTTGCAGTTTTGACCTTTGGGAGCTTTCTCAGTTGGCTCCTGTGTCTAACATACTCCACACTTTCTTACTTTCAATAGTAGTGGATTTTTATCATTCCTTTTCTTTCAACAAGTACTGCATGTTGATAATCATTCACACTGTGTAATGGGTACGTTTGGGTTCAGTATACTGTTCATCCAACCCTTGATCACACTGCACCCTCTCCATAAGTATTGCATGTTGGTTACCCTGAGTGTAAGACTTCATTGCTACCTCCTGTACCCATGATGGCCTGGGATGATGGGACAAAGAAGGCAAGGGGAGCCTGGGCATTCAGCTACCAGACCCAGGGCAGGGCTCAGTGTCACAGCTCTCTCAAGGGGGAAGGGCTGCAAGGGGACTGCTCCCAGGTGTGCTGAATGGTGAGGTAGCCCTGTCAGGCAGATGGTGATGATATGACACAAGTGCTGGGTGTCCATGCTCCTTGCTAGGCTCCATCCCCTCAGTCCCTCCCCTCCCTCTCCGGAGCAGTGGTTGCCATGAGCCTGGATACCAAGGGACCAGTGAATGTGGTAGAATAAGAATGGTGACCCAAGCTGTGCAGAGTGGGAGGCTCTGACCCACCCTCCCTTCACCCACAGCCTCCCCCAGCCTCTCTGAATGGCTAGATGGGGAGCCCAAGGCTGGGCTTTTGTGAGCAGGATGGAGAGCCCATCAAGAGCTTGAGAAGCGATGACCTGGTGGCACTGCCCCTCCCATAGTGTCAAACACTTCTCACTGAGGGCCCCACCTCCTGAATTCCTTTGCATTCAGAGCCCAGACGTGACACTTGTGCTAAATGCCTAAGCCTTTTTTCTAACTACTCTAAGCTTCTTGAAGGCAAGGCCCAGGCTTTATAAGCTGCCTAGATTGTCCCAGTAGCCAGCACCGTGCTGGGCTGAGGCTAGGTGCTGCTCAAATACCTGAGGGTTGAACTCATGCAGAGGCAACCCTGGAACCACCCTATCGAGGGCACAGAGATAAAGGAGCATCTCGAGGCTGGAGTCCACTGGTACACGTGCCATCTGCACACAACATTTGAAGAGTACCCACCACAAGCCAGGCACAGTGTTAGGGGCCCAGTAGCAAGCACACAGAGCAGCCGCTGATCCTTTGGGGTCTCCCAGTTGGAAATACCTGCTCACCACCAGTCTCTACACAGAGGGTCCTGGGAGGGAAACATGGCCAACTTGTTGGAAACAGGGTCCCTCCTCTCCAAAGTCTCCTCCAGTCTTGCTGCAGTAGGTATTCTCTGTGGACATGACAGTCCTCATCTCAGCTGGCTGGCCTTGCTGTGGCCTTTTGGCCCAAAGCTGTTGACCACTGTCCTTTAACCCAAGATCTGCCCCTGCCACCCTAGAGCTATTGAGGGCACTGGGAGATAAACAATGAAGCTCTCAAGCACTGTGCATGGGTGCCACGGGCAGCCAGGCTGCCAGCTGGATGCGGGATGAGTGACTGGGGGTGTGGGCTCTGCATGTCCATTGGGTTATTTTTTGGATCAGACTTTGCATGGCTCATTCCCTACTCCTGGGTCCCTGCAGGAGTAGGCTGAGAGAAGGCACGCCCCTCTCTATCGGCCTACAGGCTGTCAGGCTTGTTTTTCTTGGCAGGAGACTTAATCCCTCACCTAGTTCAGAACTAGAGTAGAAGGTTCAGGCTCAGCTTTCTTAATATTGGACCCTTGATTCTTTTTCTTCTTCTCTAACCTTTAATTTACTGGAAAAAATTAATAGCCCAGACCATGCTATGTAATTTTGCCCAGAGCAGGCTGAGGGTATACAAGAGCCCCACCCTGCAAAGGACATCAGAGGAAAACAATCCTAAATGGGGCCTGGCAGTCATAACAGGCCTGCTGGGGCAGCTGGCATCTAGCACAGGGCGCAGGAGGGGACCTGCTTGGCTGGTTGTGAATTGTCCAAGGCCACCTGCTCGGCATTCTTTTAGACACGCCCATCCTGCTGGGTGTGTTGTGTGTACGTGCACGCGGAGCCAGAGTGAGCTAGAGCACGCGGGTCCGTGGCCCAGTCATGAGGCTCATCTGCCCCACCTCACCCATCAGGCAGACTCTGCTCAAGGGACCCCTGAAGGGGAAGGCTGAAAAACGATGGCTTGACCACTATCATAACCAGCGCCGGGCAAGAGACACCGGGCAGGAACACGACGCACTCGCAGGATCTGCGCCTGGCAGTGTCTGCCACCCGGCACTGCAGAAACAAACTGAAACTGGCATGAAGAACGGGGCAAAGTCACCAGTATGTTAATGGTTAATGGCTCTGAGCCAGTTTGCAAGGGTGTATTTCATTCCCCAACTCTATTTTTTTCTCCAAAAGGTAACAGATTTGTGGTCTTGCTCAGGTTCTTTCAGAAAACATGCAAATTTGTTACTGCCTTTTAGCATTCAATATACATTTACCTCCCCTTTCTTTTAAGGATTTTAGTACAGTTAACTCTTATTACATCAGAGAAAAGGAGAGTTTATTCACTCTACTTTTTTTTTCCTTTGGGACGGAGTCTTGCTGTGTCACCCAGGCTGGAGTGCAGTGGCATAATCTTGGCTCACTGCAACCTCCGCCTCCTGGGTTCAAGCGATTCTCCTGCCTCCATCTCTCAAGTAGCTGGGACCATAGGCATGAGCCACCCCGCCTGGCTTTTTTTGTATTTTTAGTAGAGACAGGGTTTTTACCACCTTGACCAGGCTGGTCTAGAACTCCTGACCTCAAGTGATCTGCCCGCCTTGGCCTCCCAAAGTGCTAGGACCACGTCTGGTCTGACTCCACATTTTAACAAAACTCAAAAATGGCTGCACTATCCAGGACATATGATGGCAGACAGACCTAAGAATTGCCAACATTTATTGAGTACTAAATGCCAGGAACAATTCATGGGCTTTTCACACTTACTCCTTTAAGCCTCACAATGGCACTTGGTACTATTACTGTCCTCACGTTATGGCTCAGAAAGCCAGAGCAATGTCACCCCAGAGGTAAGGGCTGTGCCTGGCACGGCAGTCCAGACAGGCGGGCTCAGGGGCCATGGCCCTACCCACTCTGGCAATCATTCAGAAGCTCCTTAGGCTCCTTTCACACACCGACCCCAACGAAACACCGCAACGACAACACTTACCAGCAGGGCGATGAGGGTTCAGCAGGAGAGCCTCCAAAACCCACGCATGGGCCTCCCTGGTGTGGTCACACAGTCCTACCTATAGTTAAGCCTGGCTTAGCCAGACTGTTCAAAAATGGGGTATTTGGCCAATTGGTTTTCTCCCTGAGAAAGTAACTAGAAAATATTTTTATTTATTCCCTTTCCAAGCAAACTCTGGGGATGTTATGAGTTAGCTGCTGAAGGAAATTCTCTATTAGCTATCTAGGAGTGTAGACATTGGCAAACTCTATCTCCCTACCTGAGGCTTCCTCTTCAGGAAACAAAAACAGTTTTGAACAAAAGAATGCTCTAGTTTCATGTTCCCAGAGGCTTTTGAGAATACAGCCTGGTGGCCAGGCCTGAGAGAGAGCCTTGCTCTGGCTGGATTATAAAACCTGCCTGGGGAGCAGAGGCCAGCCAGTGCGTGCTATAGAAATGAGCGCTGCCCCATGTCATTACCTCTTCTTGGGGCTTCAAAAGCGGGTGGTGGAGGCAGCGCTCAGCTCTCTTCCTTCTCAAGTTTAAAAACTTGGTAGCTCAGCCAGCTCCCAAAAGTATCAGAGCCCCACTGGGAGCACACAAACTCAAGCCAATCCTAAGGCCTGAACTATTTAAAAAGCCCGCTTCCCACACCTTCATCCTGACCTCAGAGCCACTTTGCTAATTCAGCTCAGCTGTGCCTAACTTCCCCAACAGCGTCCTTTTGGTTCCCAGGTTATATTACTTTGGGAAGTCAAACCTGAGTGACACGAGGACCATCTGAAAGAGCTTGTTAGGGCCACGGCACACTTTAGATCAGAGGGATCCCTTTAACAAGCAGCCATGGGCACAATCCAAGGATCCCACTTTGAGTAACACCACTTGGGGCTTCTGGGCAGTTCTGCCTGAGCCTCCAATAGTGTCCAAAGCTGAGAGATGCCATTGCATTGTGGTGGGAGGGAATGGTCAGAGCCTCGCTCAGGTTGACACCAGATCTAATGTACCCACGGGGCCGCTTCAGTCTTGAAGAGTTCATGAGTCCAATCTTGGTGTCACCTTGCTCTCTTTGGTCACTGTGCCTGGTCAGGATGGGGCACATCTGTGAGGAGTGGGAAGCATTTGTGACATACCAAGAAGTCAACCCTTTAGGGAACCGCTTTAGGGAAGGTGTCGGGAGCTGGCCTTTTCCCCCTGGCTGAATCGGTCCCGGTCACAAGCTTTGTGTAGATAATGGCAGCAGGCACCTCAGTGCTCACTCGGTCCTGAGGTTAAGCACAGTATAAGCATTATCTCATTTAATCCTCATAACCACCTTATGAGGCTAGTGCTATTATTATCCTCATTTTACAGATAAAGACGCTGAGGCTGGGAGAAGTAACACAGCCACCAAGTGGTGGAGACAGGATTGTGAACCCAGCCAGTCTGATTTCAGAGGCCAAGCATAAAACACACATGATATTAACAGAAACAGAATTCTGCTTACTTCAGTCACAGTTCAGGGCTCGGGCTCCTATTGTCTACTCAGTCTTGTTTTTTAAACCTGTCCCAGCTAAGATGACAGCTCTGTGAGCTTAAGTAGTCTTTACCTAAGAAATTGTAGAAGTTTTACAATGGGGTTAACATATCAAGAACTTTAAAAACTGGGCCATTTTAAACACCCTTGCACTTGGGGCAACTGTAAAGGTAGGGAAATATAAAGCTTAACAGGTCCCTCAGTGAAGCCACCTGCCACAGTGACCACGCAGATCTACAGCTTATCTGGCTTTGTGTAAGTCAGTGTCCAGAGTAATGTCAAAATAAACCAAAGATTACCATCACAGTGAGAGAGTAAGCTGTGGTCAGACTTTGAGATCCTGAAGGGATACTCATACTCGCTTCCTAGACACACATACCAGAAGGGACTTGGCTGTGACTTTGATTTGTCCCTTTCAGCTGAGCACAGTCTCCAGGTGGAGCTCCCCTGTGTTCCCATCCAGGAAGCTGCTTCCAGTGGTACCTCCACCCTGTGCCAAAGTCTGCTCAGCATGCCAATTGGGTGGTTCGGATTTTCCCAGGTGAACCAGCCAGCTAGCCACTGTGTCCCTTGTCTTCTAGCTGGTTTACTGAAATCTAGAGAAGCCTAAACTCAACCCCTTGTCCAGCCAATATACCAGAGCCAGGGACTGGCTCTCAGGGACACCACTTGTCCTCACGCTGGCTCAGCTGCCCCTTCTTATTTGCTACCTGCCTACTGGGTGCCAGCTTCACATGCCTTCCATCTCTGTATCAACACAGCTTCACCCACAGCTTGGTTCTAACACCAATACTAAGCAAACCAACTGTATACTTAAGCCCAGATATACAAAGAGATATAGTTAGGGGCAAGGAAAAAGAGGAGAAAAGCATGTTAACCTTGAGGGCTTTCTGCAATAAACTGATTCTCATTCCCATTTCTTCCTATTGCAGTCTCTTTCCTCTATCTTGAAAAGAAGTGCCTTTAATAAATGGGATCTTGCTTTCCCAGCATCTTCCTTTTCCTTAATGTAATCATAGCCTTTGGAGTCTTGATCATGTTTCAAATTGCCTCTTATACATAACCCATCTGCCAGCTCCCATGAAACAAAAAAAGATATTATGGATTTAACGCACAATTGATAGGAGCCACAGTGCTCTTCACTATTCTAAAGATCGTGAAAAATCCAAGAACTGATTTGACTTGACGTCCTCTCTGGGTCTAGGAACAGCAGTATTTCCTGTCAGCCAGACAGGAAAACCAAGGCTGAGCTGTGTCCTGGCCATAATTCCTTGTTCTTCCAAGGTCAAACAAGTTCAGGCTGGTGTTCGGTCCCCAGTCTGAGCAGAGCTAACTTGATGCTATTGGAGCCTTCTTGACTGCCAGTCCTGGAGCTGTCTGGAAACTGAAAGGTCCTGGAGAGCAGCAACCTCTGAACTGGGCACTCATTACCAGGAGAACCTGAACCCAGCTCTGGGCAAGCAATTCCCCCAAAGGTCACTTGTTTAGCAAAAACTAGATCTAGAAATGTTGCCGCAGCTAACCCCACATCCCTGTTGAACCTCAAAAGCCTTATCCAATGAACAAAGCCATCACCACCCATTTACTCTCTCCGGCTGAGCCGAGCCCTGGGAAGAAAGGAGAAACAACTCTGGCTTATGGCTGCTCCTGGTTCTGCAGGACCAGGTAAACCGCCTCCACTTCTCACTCAGGCTTCCATAGAGGCCCTAACAGCTTCCAGAGGGGTCTCTCATCAACCATCTTGGCCTTAACAAGGGCAAGAAGACACCACCACCAAGAAGGATAAAATAAGTTTTTATTTATAGTCTTATAGTAAAGGGGGAAGCCTTAACTTGCAAGACAATTCTTCGGCAGTATGTACAACATACTTTTTATTTCCATGGAATGGAATCAAACACGAACTGAGACTACAGAGTATACACTAGAAATCAGCAAATGCCAGGAACGGAGTAGGAAAAAGACAAAGAAATGAGGCCTAAACACACAAAACCCTTCACTGGGATCTGCTGACCACAGCCAGAGCCAGGGCTGGATCACACAAAGGAGACAGGTTTCAGGACTGCAGGAAAGGAAGTGGGGTGAGGGCAGGGAAGGGTCCGCACTGGGGTGCGGGTTTAGTACCAGGTAAATTGCTCTTGGTATTTACATACAAAATCAGTTGGCTCTATTTCTTAGAAATACACACGGGAAGAAAGGAAGATTTCATCATTACTTTATGAATCTGTCGCTTTGCAAGACCGACATCATCAGAAATAGGAACAATTCACTCAGATTCAAATTTAAGTAGCAGGAAATAAATATCAAATCATCATCACTGGCCCTCAATACAAAACCTCTATGCCACCCAAAACATCCTCCCTGTCCCAACCCCAAATGGCCACTCCCTGGTGGCTGCTGCTTCACTGCTGCTATCTCCCACGCATACCACAAGAATCCATGCAGCCCTCCGTGAGGCTGGCACCGCAGGCCTAAACAGCTGGCTGAGAGAGGCAGGAGTGAAACATGCCGAAGACTCTGTGCTGCGACTCTGTCCCCACTTTCTTTTCATACCACAAACTTCTTTAAGGATCTGCTCTTTCAATAGGAGCAATACATAGCTTTTTAGAAAAAGGAAAAAAACAACCTTAAAAAGGAGGAGGGTTAATTCTGATTACTCCAAACTGGTCATCTTCTCAAAGTAGAGCAGTTCACAGATTCACAGTCTATCCAACAGAGGTGAGGGCGGACCAGGAGGCCACCTGGGCAGGCAAGGCATCCTCCGGGTATGTGCCCGGCAGGGCTGGAGGAGCTGGTAGGGTGGGCAGGATACTATGGGCTCAGAGGTCCGGCCGGCCGTCTGTCCTCCACAGAAAAAGCTGCCAAGTTGGGGTGTTTTGGTTTAAAAATTCCTGGTGGGGACAGGGAATCCCTGAAGGGAATACATTAAAAAAAAAATACACAGTGGAAATGGGGAAGGAGAACGAGAGCTGTTGTCCAAGAGCTTCTACATGAAAATAAAAATTTAAAAAAAAAAGGGAGAAAGAGAAAAATACAGTCTCTTAAATGGTTCTGAGGGTTCTACAGATGAACTGAAAGGAGGAGGAGACGATGGAGACAGTTTTTATTGCTGGCCTGCCCCGAGGGGCTTAGCTGGCCTCCATCCGGAGCTTCTTCCTGCTTTGGGGCTCCTCAGGCTCAGACTCTGAGCTGGAGTCTGAGCCCCCATCGAAGGCAGAGATGGTGCTGCCCTTGGCGTTGGTGTAGAGGCTGTTGTCTGAGGAGGGGTAGTTGGTCTGCAGTTGGGCACTTGACCTCGCCTTCTCCAGTGCACGGACTAAAAGGCAACCAAGGGAGTGTGTTACTGCCTTCTGCAGACTTGGGGAGGAGCCGAGTCTCAGACTCAGGGTCCAGCCTGTTCTTCCTAAGGGCTTGCTTGCTGGCCCCCGAGGCTCAAGGTGCTCAGAAGTAGCTCCCTTTGGGTGGCTGTTCACTCACACACTTCATTTCCCTCCCACCTTTCCCAGCTGGACCTGGGAACCAGCAGACACTCTGCAATCCCACCCAACCCTGAAGAGAAGGCTTGTGATGTCACCGTGCGGCCACGGAAGCCCAGCACAGGGACTGGAGCGTGAGCTTCCTGTGGGATTCAGCAGTGCAATAACAGAGGAGAAGCTGGCCCAGTAACATGAGGCTCCACAAGGTGTGAAGGCCACACAACAGCAGGAAAGGATGATGTAAGATGTATCAGCCAAAGAACACTTTTGGCTTAGTTCTCATGTACAAGATCCATTTGGAATGACAAGCTGGACACTTGGAAGCAAGTCACCGATACACGTAAAATTCCTGGGCTTTTCAAACAGCCCCACATGCAGGCTGCTTGGCGGCCGGATAACCAACCCACTGACACCACCCACTGCCCATCCCTTGGTTCAGCTCAGCTTGAGCCTGGAAGGTCAACCCTTTATTTTATTTATTTTATTTTATTTGAGGTTTTCTAACCCAGGTGGTTACTTGCATTTCCTTTTACTTGCATCTTCCATGAGGGAGGAAGAGAAGTGAATTCCCCAGGAACAAAGAACTTGATCAGCTCTCGCTTTCCCCTGTGGTTGTAGGAAAAGGCGGGTGTGAGCATTGAGAACAGCATGGGCCTAGCCCATAGGCTGCCCTGATTGGACTACCATTGACCATGGAGGGCTCACTGTCCCTGAACACCTGGATCTCTGGTACTTACACAGCACATTCCACTCCAAGGACCTCAAAGCTCTTTTCAGGCACCTGATGCCAGGTGTGATCCCTACTGCAGGCAGAGCACCTGAGCCCCAAGAAGGGGACAGATCAGGTCAGAAAAGATACAAGTTTCCAGATGTCCAACTTCCTAGCTTCCATTGTCTCCTCACTGGCACCTCAGGTCCTTCCTCAGGACGGCTCTAACACTCAGCTACTCAGGCCCCAGGAAGCAGGACCAAGCCTGTTTCTCCGCACATACTCCATGACTGGCTCTGACTCTGCAGGTCCAGGTACCAAAGCCTGACCCGGATGGAGCACAGCAGGGCCAACTGCCCCACAAGCTCAGGTGCTCACCTTGCTGCTCCAGAAGAGCATTCTGCCGCTTGAGGTCGTCAATATCTTGCTGGTGTGTGTGGTTTTTCCTTCGCATATACTGGATATACTCTGTGGCTTTGTCTAGGATTTGGGCCCGGGATGCCTGTGGCAATATGAGAAAAAGCACAGGGGACAAAATAAAGACCGAATCCAGGCAGTAAGGGAACCTGGCCTTTCTGTAGCAACTGCTTTGGTGGCTGGAAACAAGAGGGTAAGGTGGGAAAAGGCTGAAGAGATACAGTAATGGCTATTGAACGCCTTCTTTGATTTTGTTTCATTTTGGGACAGAGTTTCATTCTTGTTGCCAAGGCTGGAGTGCAATGGTATGATCTTGGCTCACTGCAACCTCCACCTCCCAGGTTCAAGCAATTCTCCTGCCTCAGCCTTTCAAGTAGCTGAGATTACAGGCATGCGCCACCGTGCCTGGCTAATTTTTTGTATTTATAGTAGAAACGGGTTTCACTATGTTAGCCAGGCTGGTCTCAAACTCCTGACCTCTGGTGATCCACCCACCTCGGCCTCCCAAAGTGCTGAGATTATAGGTGTGAGCTATTGCACCCGGCCTTTTTTTTTTTTTTTTTTTTTTTGAGACATAGTCTCCCTCTGTTGCCCAGGCTAGAGTGCAGTAGTGTGATCTCAACTCACTGCAACTTCCGCCTCCCCAGTTCAAGCGATTCTCCTGCCTCAGCCTCCTAAGTAGCTGGGATTACAGGTGCATGTCACATCGCCTGGCTACTTTTTATCATTTTAGTAGAGATGGGGTTTCACCATGTTGGCCAGGCTGGTCTCAAACTCCTGACCTCAGGAGTGATCCACCCACCTTTGCCTTCCAAAGTGCTGGGATTACAGGCGTGAGCCACTGCACCCGTGAAAGCCTTCTTTGTGACACACAAGGTGCCAAGTACTTTACAGAGCTTACCTCACAGTTTCAGAGGTAGTTCTTCCAGGAACCCAAGGATCAGAGAAGTAAACCGGATTTTTCAAAATCACCAGCTAGACAGTGATAGAGCCTGGATTTAAACTCAGAGACATCTGACTCTTAAATTGTACTTCCATCCCCTTTGGTTCTTTAGGTTGCTTTAAAGTCTTTAGCTTGGCTATGTCTGGAAACGTTAAAATACTACTTTAATGAAAGCTTTAGGCCATTAATTCTGCTAGGGCCCAGCTACAGAGAGCTGGTCCAGAAAGACATGAGCAAGATTTCAGCTGGAGCTGGCTTGAGATGGCAATGGGTACAATGTGTTTCTTCAAGACCCAAGATGGCAGCCAAACTCTCAAACCATTGTTAACTATTCCCAACTGAACAATGCTGCTGCGTCACTATTTCAGCCTTCCTGGTTAAAGAGACTTTCATAAAAGCTGTCAGTGCTTGATGTCAACACAGGAAGTGCATGAGATTGGGCCATTTCAGGAAACAACCACACCTCTATAACGGTTGTGGGTAGCCTGGGTACTGCCTTGTTAGAGGAACAAGTTCATCGGTCAGTAACACGGATGTCATGTTACTGTGCCCCTAGACATCGAACTTGTCTGGGAGATTCCCTCCAGGCTACAGAGTTACTTATGGCCAGGCAGACAGCCATACTGGTAGAATAGTACAAAGCCAAGAGAAGCCCAAGGTGGGGTACCCTAGAAGCTTAAGTATGGCCTTCCAGCCAGAGGCTCCTGAGCAGCTAGAAAACTTCTTACCCAGGGTAGGGAGTGCTTGACAATTCCATATTACAAGCCCATTGAGGTCCCAAACAACCAGAACACAACAGCGGGAGAAAGACAAAGAAAACATGTACACCGTGGCTAGCAAAACCAGATCTACTCATATTAAGTCCTAACAATCTCAATTTATAGGCCTCAGTTTGGGCTGAGTTTCAGAGAGGTTTGGAAGGCCTGTGTTTATTTGTAAGTCTTCACAAGTACTAGAATTTCCAGGCTTTCCTCTTATAGCACCCTTAAGGCAATTTCCTCAAGGAAATTGTTCATAGTCAGCCATTTTTATCAGGTACAAATTACGTACAAGGTACTGGGCAGATATTGTGGGGAAACAAAACATATTAGTCATGGCTTCTTTGCCCCGAAGCTTACTTGCTATCTAGCTGAGGAGATAAATATGTCTATACACAAACAAATCACAGGGCAGTGCTGACTAGCATAACCCGACTAGCAGAGATTACAGAGGCCACAGGACAGACAGCTTCTGGCTGGGGTGATTACCTACTGTGTGCCAGGACTGGCCTTGGTGCTGCTGCATGTGTGTGTGTGCACGCAATGCACTCCTATCTGAAATGGCAAACCCTGCATTAGACCAAGGTGGCATCTGTGGGAAAAGGTCACTCTGAATAGGGAGAATAGCACAGGCAAGGGCATGGGGTGGGGAAAAAGCGAGATGTGATTCTTTAGTTGAGTCAGTCAGCTTATGTAGAAGGAATGCGAGTTCCTAGCCTAGCCATGGATACTTCAGGCACTGTTTGCCATTTCTGCAAAGGGGCCTTATTAGGGTTTAATTACTAGGTGACAAAATGGGGTGGAAAAAAGGAGCACATAATTAGAAGGGACTAATTAAAGTATCTTGCTCTCTGGATACTGGAGATGGAATGAAAAATGATTAGTATTGATGAGATGTGGTAGAGTGGTGAGGAAGAATTTGGGAATTCGAGGTCAGAGGTGTGCTCTACACACTTGTCATTAATGAGTTCTGTGACTGCAGATACATTTCTCACCTTGCCTATTCCTCATCTGACTAGAAATTCTCTAAGACCCCACCTAGCCCTCCAAACGCTACCCTTTCCATCACTGATGTAATTGCTATGCATATTTACATCCCTTCTTTAAATCTGCCTATGCAAAAGCTATTTTTTCAACAAACAGTTCCCAGAAAGCAACATTAGCTCTTAACTACCCATGTGCATCTGGGACAAGGGAAAAATGCACAATCTCTGAAAGCAGAGAGCACTTGCAAACGTTCAGTGATAACTTTTAATGAATGACCAAACTGAGTAGCAGCAGCCTTTGTGCTACCAGTTTCTCCTTCAAATATTTATATATGAAACCAGGGAATTAGGATCAAGAAGTGAAAAATGAGTGGTAAGCACAGCAAAACAAGCCAGAAGAGGGAAAAAGATCCTGTGAGGGATGGCAGTTTCCATTTCAGGGTAGTTTTTGGATGAAGATAAAATTCATAGATGTTCAGAACATAGTGTCTCGGGAACAAGAGGAGTCCAAAGAAGGCTGGATTGGTTTAAACCCAGAAGGAGGCCTTCAGAATGCTAAGCACAGCCCTTCCTCCATCCTCTGCTGAAAGCAAAAGTGCCTCAGGTCACTTGGGGGGCCCTGATCCCTCAGCAAGTCCACAATAATGGTTCAGTTTATTTTATTCTTGCCAGGGTACCCAACAAGAATTAAAATCCAATAAGAAAAAAATTTAAAGCATGAAATATAGAAATATTCCAAATTTGCATGTCCATTTAGTCCACGGAAGAAAAAGCAAAAGGCTAAAGTGAAAAATGCTAGACTCACCTGCAATCCTCCCCTCCCATCTTTCCATTCCATACAAGATCATGTGGCCAGTCACAGCATGAAGGTGAGGGCAGGCTCTTCCTTGTCTTTATGAATTTATAATACGTGACCAGTAAACACAAAGCCAGCAAGAAACTCTGGGATTTATGGCATGGACTATGGAATGACCTTGGGCTTTTGGTTTCTGTTTTCTGAAAACTGCCCTAACTCAGCTGAGTCAACTGCCCACCTTCACATGAGTGCGACTGATCAGACAGAACTTGCTAAGTCAACGTGTCCACAGAGCAAGTGCTGCCTTGGGTACTCAGATAATGAGAATTATAATTTTGATTCTGCCTTTGTGAACAGAAATGGCTCGTTAGATGGTTTGGATGGAGCCCTGAGACAGGATGGATGGTGGCTGCAGGGACTGACAAGGTAGTCAGGCGTCCCATGCAGCCATGTGAGTGAATGCAAAGGGCTCAGCAGGCTGGCCTCCCTCATCCCCCACACCTCTGGGAGTCACACAAAAGGACATTGGGCAGCCTTGCCAGATCTTGCTCCAAAGCCATGCAGGCACACAGCAACACAAATGACAATGATGGGGGTGGTAACAATGGCAGTAGCTAACACTTACTGAGAACTTACTAAGTGCCAGGCATCCACAACCTTCTGATGTATTATTTTCCCTATTTTATAAATGAGGAAACTGAGGCACAGAGCTGTAATTTACCCAATGTTACGTAAACTAGTAGGAAGATGAGTCAGGATTTGAATCCAAGCCTCCAGGACACTCATATTTTGGGAACACAGCGGAAGCTATCAATAGAAGACCCTCATGAAGGTGGTTTTCTGGAGGAGTGACAGCTGAAGCCCAATGGTAAATTGTCTCTGCACAGGTAACAGGTGTAGGAGTTGAGTTGAAAGTGAAGCAATGATGAAGACTAGTCTTCAGAATTTGGTTGAAAAGTAAGAAGTGGGCCAGGTGCAGTGGCTCATGCCTGTAATCTCAGCACCCTGGGAGGCTGAGTGGGAGGATCACTTGGGTTCAGGTGTTGGGGACCAGCCTAGAAAACAGCAAAACACAAGGGCTCTATAAAAAACCCGGGAGGTGGAGGTTGCAGTGAGCCAAGATCATGCCATTGCACTCCAAAAGATTAGCTGGGCACGGTGGTGCACGTATGTGGTCCCAGCTACTTGGGAGGCAGAAGTGGGAGGATCTCTTGAGCCCAGGGGGCTGAAGCTGCAGTGAGTCATGCTTGTGCCAACACACTCCAGCCTGAACAACAGAGCGAGACCCTGCATCCAAAAAAAAAAAAAAAAAAAAAAAAGTGAAAAATGGTAGCTTGTAATAGCAGCACTGAAAGAAGATTATTTTTCTTTCTTTTTTAAGAACAGGTGAGAACTAAACAGGCTTCTAGCAGAAACACATTGAGAGGAAAAGCCTGAAGATGCAAGCTAGCTTGAGAGAACTGACCTAACCACCTGGCCTGGTAGGCAGAAGTGGAAGGTTAGGTGGGGGATGTCAGCTTCCCACAGTACAGCTGGCTTCATTACCTCTTGGCGGCCCAGAAGGATCAAAGCAAAATGAACAATGTAGAAGATCCAGGGTGTGGCAGAGGGTCTGGCAGGTTCCTGTCTCTCCTACTGTTTATGCCGCAGCTGTGTGTCCATTTGCATTCCCTCCCAAGGCAACAGGCAGACAGAGGGAAGGCCAACGCCCTCAACCAGAGGCACCCACTGTGAGACCTCTGCTTTTGAATAGTGTCCACCCACCCTACACATCACGGCAAGAACTGACTACATATGTCACAAAAGGTCCCAAACCCAAAAGAGTTGGCTTCTAATTAGAACCGTTTAAGGCCCCAAATGATTCCTGAATTTGTTAGCACTGATGCTTCAGTGAAGTCCAAGGTTATTAAATTTCATTTAAGGCAGGGGTTCTCAAAAAATTTCAATGGAAGGCAAGAGTTCCAAACATTTCTGGAGTTATAAATCTTATCACAGTAACTTGGATTTCTGTAAAAATCCAAGTAGTTTTAGAAAGTGGGTGGGGAGAGGTGAGGAAAAGAACAGTAGCACGAGATTGTTAACATTAGGAACACCACTACCCCTCCCTAAGGTCCTAATGCTGACGTCAGCAACAATAATCTTAAATCTATTGAACACATTTCCTCTTCAATGCCAAAAACAGATGCCACTGGGCTGATGTTACAGCTGTCTTGTTTCCCTAAGAACCAAAATGCCTGCCGGGCACGGTGGCTCACACCTGTAATCCCAGCACTTTGGGAGGCCGAGGCGGGTGGATTACCCGAGGTCAGGTGTTTGAGATCAACCTGGCCAACATGGTGAAATCCTTCTCCACTAAAAATACAAAAATTAGCCAGGTGTGGTGGCGGGCACCTGTAATCCCACCTACTCAGGAGGCTGAGGCAAGAGAATTGCTGGAAGCTGGGAGGTGGAGGTTGCAGTGAGCAGAGATCATGCCATTGCACTCCAGCCCTGGCCGACAATAGCGACATTCAGTCTCCAAAAAAAAAAAAAGAACCAAAATGCCCTATCTGGAGGGAAGAAAAAGAGGTACTGGTGGACTTACCAACTCACATAGTTATATTCTGTACCAGTTATTTTAGAGGAAATGACACCATTTATTTTTTGAAACCTGTGTAAGCTTTTACACATATGAAGGTAAAGGGAGAGTCCAGGGCAAAACTGGTGTAATTTCCATGTGAATATGCCATCTTTGAAAACCAAAATGAAAGCATATGCACAATAAATTTGGATCCACATTAAACTAGTTCATTCAAAAACAGAACCCCATCAATGCCAGCAAGGGAGGCTGGAAGGTCAGAGTCAGCACAGACCTGTGGCTATTTGAAGGCTTCCTGCTGCCAGGACCTCCCCAGCCACGGGACCATTTTGTTCATTACCAGGGAAAGGCAGAACTATCAGCCCTGCAAGCAGCTTAATCAAAGCCAGGAGTCAGACATTTGTTTAAGGGGTCAAAACAATCATTTTTAAAATCTTGCATTCTTTTCTCGTGTGCCCTTGGTAGCTTGAAATGAAGGTGTGGCATTTTTGCATTAAACTTTGACCATGAAGGACAGGAGTACGCAATTTCCGAAAGAGGAAATAGAGCTAGTAAATAAACATGTGGAAAAGCAATTAATTTCACAATAAACGGAATATAAAATTACTAACTTTTGTTTACTGAATTAGTCACCCTCTTAAAAAAAAATTCCAATGATAATGAAGTTGGTACTCTCAAAACTCAACTAAAAGACTACTCTTTAGAATTTGCTTGAACAAAGAAGGAAATAGAAGAAAGAGGACTTGAAAACAATCCTTTGGAAAGCATTTTGGCAACACAAGGAAAAAAGTCAGATGCTCATACCCTTCAACACAGAAATCCAGCTTCTTGGAATCTACAGAAATGGCTACATACAAATAGATATCCATCACTATATATTATAAATTTAAAAAACTGAATGCAACCCCAGTTGCCCAACAGAAACACGCCTAATGACTAAACATGAACACACTGTATGACCTGGGGAAAAATATGATATTATGTAAAAGCAGCAAGCTATAAATAGCACTTTCCCTGAGGGAAGCATGCAGATGAAGAGAACAGGAAGGAATACACAAATTGATAACACTGTATTTCCTTGCTTCTTAGACTCCATCAATAAATCCATGGATGGAACAATGGCAGCTTTTGGGGAGAAAAAAAGGAGGCAGGTTTCTTTTCACATCCACTTTAAGATGATGTCCAATTTCAGTCACATTAAATGAGGCAGAGGGGTACAGACAGTCTATCTTTGGATTGTCCTGATCTGATAGTCACTAGCCACATGTGGCTAATAAACACTTGAAATGTTGAGTACTCTCAATTGAGATGTGCTGTAAAGTTGAATTTTTAAGACTTAGTGAAAGAATAATTTTAAATACATTGATTACATAACTATTTTTTAGTATTAGGCCAAATAAAAGATATTATTCAAATTAATTTCACCTGTTTAACTTTTTAATTGGGTCCACTCAAAAATTTAATTGTATTTAAGTTATATTTAAAATGCATTTGTGACTCACACTAAATTTCTGTTGGGCAACATTTGTCATAGGATCAAAGGGAAGGTTGTAGTTGTGTTGAAGGGGAAACTCATGTTTCTTCTTCTTCCCATTTTTCTAAAGTTTTTGTAATTTTGCTGGAAAAAAAAAAATACTAAAGGAAAGGCCTAGTAATCAATCCTTATCCTTCCAAATCTGAAGACGTGAAAAATGTTAGGTGAGGAACTCTCTAGTACTCTTGGGGTAGTAAGACCTCTCCCATTCTGTGGTACAGTCTCCCAGAAGGAATAATTAGATTTCTGCCCTGCAGGAGCATACCATTTAATTAGGTGATAAGATAATCACAGAAATTAGGGAGACAGAGAGGTTCCACAAAAGACCACAGAGGTTCAGGGGAGGGTTCCAAGAGTGGGGTATTTGATATGGGCCTCTAAGGCAGAGAGCTAGGGGAAGTGGGGAACTCAGGCAGGAGATAAGAGGACAGAAGGCAGGTAGGCCTTGTGAGCAGGGCACTTCAATATGGAACACACAAGTCATCTGGGCACTGTGGCTGGGATTGGACCTTGAGAAAAGCGAAGAACTCAGATAAGCTGAGAATGAAATTCCTGGGCAAAGAGAAGAGGGGCTGACATGGTTTGGCTGTGTCCCCACCCAAATCTCATCTTGAATTGTAACTCCCACTATTCCCAGTAGTGGGAGGAACCTGGTGAGAGGTAACTGAATCATGGGGGTTGGTCTTTCCCACACTGTCCTTGGGATAGTGAGTAAGTTTCGTTGATGGTTTTAAAAACGGGAGTTTCCCTGCACAAGCTCTCTCTCTTTGCTTGCTGCCATCCGTGTAAAACGTGACCTGCTGTTCCTTGCCTTCTGCCACAATTGTAAGGCCTCCCTAGCAACATGAAACTGAATGTCAGTAAACTTCTTTCTTTTGTAAATTGCCCAGTCCCAGGTATGTTTTTATCAGCAGTGTGAAAACAGACTAAATATAGTAAATTGGTACCAGTAGAGTGGGGTGCTGCTAAAAAGATACCCGAAAATGTGGAAGCAACTTTTAAATTGGGTAACAGGCAGAGGTTGGAACAGTTTGGAGGGCTCAGAAGACAGAAAAATGTGGGAAAATTTCAGACTTCCTGGAGACTTGTTGAATGGCTTTGCCCAAAATGCTGATAATAATATGGACAATAAAGTCCAGGCTGAGGTGGTCTCAGATGGAAATGAGGAACTTGTGGGGAATTGGAGCAAAGGTGACTCTTGTTATGTTTTAGCAAAGAGATTGGTGGCATTTTGCCCATGCCCTACAGATATGTGGAACTTTGAACTTCAGAGAGGTGATTTAGGGTATCTAAAGGAACAAATTTCTTTCTTTCTTTTTTTTTTTTTTGAGACAGGGTTTTGCTCTTGTTGCCCAGGCTGGAGTGCAATGGCATGATCTCAGCTCACTGCAACCTCTGCCTCCCAGGTTCAAGCGATTCTTCTGCCTCTGCCTCCTGAGTAATTGAGATTACAGGTATGCACCACCATGCCCAGCTAATTCTATATTTTTAGTAGAGACAGGTTTCTCCATGTTGTTCAGGCTGGCCTTGAACTCCCAACCTCAGGTGATCCACCCACCTTGGCCTCCCAAAGTGTTAGGATTACAGGCATGAGCCACCATGCCTGGCCTAGAGGAAGAAATTTCTAAGCAGCAAAGCATTCAAGAGGTGACTTGGGTGCTGTAAAAGGCATTCAGTTTTATAAGGGAAGCAGAACATAAAAGTTTGGAAAATTTGTAGCCTGACAATGTGATAGAAAAGAAAATCCCATTTTTTGAGAAGAAATTCAAGCCAGCTACAGAAATCTGTGTAAGTAATGAGGAGCTAATAATGCTAATCTCCAAAACAATGGGGAAAATGTCTCCAGGGCATATCAAATTTTCAAGGCGGCTGCTCCCATCACAGGCCTGGAGGCCTACGAGAAAAACAGTTTTCTCGGCTGGGCCCAGGATCACCATATTGTGTGCAATCTAGTCTAGGGACTTTGTGTCTTGTGTCCCAGCCACTCTACACTGAAAGGGGCCAATGCAGAGCTCAGGATGTTGCTTCACAGGGTGCAAGCCCTAAGCCTTGGCAGCTTCCACATGGTGTTGAGCCAGTGAGTGCACAGAAGTCAAGAACTGGGGTTTGGGAACCTCTGCCTAGATTTCAAAGGATGGAGTATGGAAATGCCTGGATGTCTAGGAAGAAGTTTGCTGCAGGGGCAGGGCCCTCATGGAGAACCTCTGCTAGGGCAGTGCAAAAGAAAGAGGTTTACTGACTCTCAGTTTCATATGGATGCGGAGGCCTCACAATCATGGCAGAAGGCAACGAAGAACAAGTCACGTTTTACAGGGATGGCAGCAGGCAAAGGGAGAAAGCTTGTTCGGGGAAACTCCCGTGCACTCTATGTGGGGTCAGAGCCCATACACAGAGTACCTACTGGGGCACTGGATGGAGCTGTGAGAAGGTCACTATCTGCAGATCCCAAAATGGTAGATCCACTGACAGCTTGCACCATGCACCTGGAAAAGCCACAGACACTCGATGCCAGCCTGTGAAAGCAGCCAGGAAGGAGGCTGTACCTTGCAAAGCCAAAGGGGTGAAGTTACCCAAGACCATGGGAACCCACCTCTTACATCACCGTGACCTCTATGTGAGACAGACTCAGGAGATCATTACAGAGCTTAAGATTTGACTGCCCTGCTGGATTTTGGACTTGTATGGGGCCTGTAGCTCCTTTTTTTTTTTTTTTTTTTTTTTTTTTTTTTTTTTTGCAATTTCTCTCATTCGGAATGGCTGTATTTAACCACTGCGCCTGTACCCCCATTGTATCTAGGAAGTAACTAACTTGCTTTTAATTTTACAGGCTCATAGGCAGAAAGGACTTGCCTTATCCCAGATGAGACTCTGCACTGTGGACTTTTAAGTTAATGCTGAAATGAGTTAAGACTTTGAGGGACTGTCAGGAAGGCACCATTGGTTTTGAAATGTGAGATTTGGGAGGGGCTAGGGTGGAAATAATATGGTTTGGCTGTGTCTCCACCCAAGTCTCACCTTGAATTGTAACTCCTACAATTTCCATGTGTCATGGAAGGAACTTGGTAGGAGGAAACTGAATCATGGGGGCAGGTCTTTCCCATGCTGTTCTTGTTATAGTGAATAAGTCTTGCAAGATCTGAATGGTTTTAAAAATGGGAGTTTCTCTGCACAAGCTCTCTTTGCCTGCTGCCATCCATGTAAGACAAGACTTGCTCCTTCTTGCCTTCTGCTATGATTGTGAAGCTTCCTTCCAGCCACGTGGAACTGTAAGTCCATTAAACCTCCTTCTTTTGTAAATTGCTCAGTCCCAGGTATGTCTTTATCAGCAGCGTGAAAACAGACTAATACAAAGGTATACAGTAACTGGAAGGTTAATGTTGGGAAGGAGGAGAAAAAGCAGGTGGGCAAGCTGGGTACCTTATTTACAGACATGGAATACCAGTCCTTACCTAAATGGGCAATGAAAAGCCATTGGAGGTGTTCAGCAGCACACAAATAATTTATAAGAAATTTAATCCATTTACAATTGCTGAGGCTGGAGCCTAAGGGAGACTTGGGCAACTACGGGCAACAATTTAAGATGCAGAAACTTTAAAAAGATAATTGTCCAAGTTGGAGTATGGCCAGCTAATAACCTTAATGAGTAATGAGGACAAGTGGATAGGGCTGTAGTTTACATTTCATTTAAAAGACAATCCCTCCAGCAGCCCAAATATGCTACAGACACAGGCGACTGGATGAATTGTCAGCCTTAAAAGCATCAACAGGAATGAGCCATCTCCCAAAATAATGTGGCCAGGTAGATGAGGGATTCCTCCCATCAGCTATTAAATATTCGCTATATTCCCTACTATGTGCAGGCACTGAGGGAAGAAATATAACCAAAAGGAGACATTTTCCCTCCCTTCATGGTACTTATTTATAGTGTGGTGCCAGCAGACAGTTATTGAATAATCACACAAATATATGTACAACCACATATTAAGTGTAAACCATCTATTAAGTGTAATATATATATATATGTGTACATAAAAGTATAAGTGCTATGAGAGCCTTTATCCTTAAGATTCATGTTCCCTGCCATAAGGGAACTATTAATATTTGGTTTCAACATCTACCTGTTAAGAAAAGCAGACTGTAATGGAAATGAAACTGAGATTAACTCAGTGTAAAGCTCTTATTTGATGCTCAGCATATTATCTAATTATTGTTAATTGTTAGATATAATCCTCTTTCCCAACAAGAGAGCAAGACCCTCAACGGTAGACACCATCTATTACATCTTTTAACCTCTACAGCACTCACAAGGTCTCACTTATATAGTTAAGCACATAATATTGACTGTTGCTGTTTTCTTTAAGGGCTGAGCAAGTCTGCTATTTCCTCTGGCTTGCTCTCTTCACCACAATTTACTGAGAGCTTACTATGTGCCAGAATCTATGATAGAACTGACAGAGGCAATGCCCTCAAATTCTCACCTCAAAATCAAAAAATTTTGTTTTTCTTTATTTTCATTTGAAGTTATATTCTCTCTTCAACACAGCTCTCCCCATAAGGGACAAATGAGAGCTCGACTGCCTGAGAGAGCAATGAGTTTGATAAACAGGCACTGAGGGAGAGACTTAAAAGATGAGAAATTACTATGAACCACTGTAGAGCTACAAATGGCAATGTTGAAAATAACCGTCTACTGCTAAAGTCATCCATGATAAAGAGACAGTGTGAATGGTTATAATCATTCTGGCTCAGGTATTGGGGCTAACTTATGAGATGGAGGACGGAATTATACCCCCATGTAAAGGCAAAATGATGGGCTGGCTATCAGGCCTTGCCCCCCAACATAAACACAGTGAGCTTAGTGCCAGTGAACAGTTGTGTAACACTCCCTAGTACCCAAGGAAGGACACTTAACTAATATTTTCTGTTAAAGAAAAGTAATATCTCTGGGAAAGAAAAAAATGGGGCCACAGTTGATCATGCCCTCACTCCATTACTCTGGTTGGCTGGCTGATGGTTCTAATTCCATCCTACTGTTCCCAGTGGGCTCCATGTACAGCTGAGAAATTGCAAGGAACACAAGACTCAAACAACAGAGATCAAGGGTTTACTTGCCAGCCTGGGACGTATGGCAAAACCCAAATGAACCACCAACTGTAATGGTCTCTTTTCTTGGGCTCAGAGCAACTATATGAACTCAGAAAGAAATTAAAGACTTTAAATGATCCTTAATACCCTGCATTTCAGTGTTACCTACATAATGCCAACTTAGAGGGGAGTATTTTTGTAGTAGCCCTGGTTGACACACTGCCAAGATTAATAGGCCTATCCAGGGGAGGCTTCTAGGACAATGACAAAATACAAGTACTTAAGCAAGATTTCGTCAAAATATCCTTAAATTGTTTACCCATGTGGTACAGGAAAAAGAGGGAACTTGGCAATTGGCAATCCTGAGTCCTAGCCCTTGTCCTGCTAAGATGAGATAGTGATCTTGAGCCTGTGAATAACAATGACAGGAGCAACAGCAGTAATAACTGTCCAATAACAGTACCATACCTCATACAACTGCTGTGTGGATTTAATTTTACATTGCAATACAATGTGAATTATTACTGATTTTTTTCCTCAAGCAAGAGATAATAAATCTTTTCTTTTTTTTTGAGACAGGGTCTTACGCTCTCGCCCAGGTTGGAGTGGTGCCATCATGGCTAACTGCAGCCTGGACCTCCCAGACTCAAGAGATCCTCCCACCACAGCCTCCCAAGTAGCTGGGACTACAAGTTAGCACCACCATGCACAACTAATTTTTGTATTTTCTGTGGAGACGTGGTTTGGCCATGTTGCCCAGGCTGGTCTCGAACTCCTGGGCTCAAACAATCCACCTGCCTCAGTCTCCCAAAGTGTTGGTATTACAGGCATCAGCCATCACGCCTGATGAACCATTTTTTTAAATGTTTATTTTATAGCAGAAATACAGAAAACAAAGGGTAAATAGAGTTTGGGTCCCATTTTTAAAGCTTTCTTTCTTTTTTACACAAGTATCCCCTATTCTAGGTTAGGATCCAATTCAATGAATATATTCCTTTTTCTTTAAAAAAAACAAAAGGCTTAGGACACATATGACGCATAATCCAAATGCTAAGGGAGAAGTCAGCTGGAACATAGAGATGCTTAAGTCAAAGGAGACTAGAACATAGAGAGATCCAAATCAAAGGCTTTCCCTTTAAGAATTGAAGTTCCCCAAAATTCACATAGTAAAATAATTATCTCATGATTATTTACATAATGTCATAACCTTAATTATCACAATCTAAGAATGAGCCGATTTCCTTTGGTCCAAAAACCACATTAAAAAAAAAAAAACACCACGTTTAGTGATAACTCATAAGTCTGAGAGACCCAAGTATTGTTAGACTTACGGCACCTGTGAAACAGTGCTGGCAGCTCGCTTTTTAAAGAGCAAGGGGTTGAGACCTTATAGACCTTTCCTTCATTCACTCTCAGTAGGACATATTTGGATTACAACACGGGATAGGAAGATTCTGAAATTAGAATGTACCTAGTAAATTCTCAGACTGGGGCTTTGCTGATTGGCTCTATAGAATCTGGTTCCCCTAGACCACTCCTCTCTCCCTAGTCCTGCTACTTTTCTGCCGGGATCTCCTGCCACCGCCCCTTCACTCATTCCCCTCCAGCCATTCTGGCCTCCTTGTTTTCCTTGCTGAGCCCAGGAATGCTTACAGGTTCCTATCTCGGTGCTACCACACTTGCTTTCCCTCTGCCTGGAATACTCATTACCAGACAGATGCACTGTTCTTGGCCTCACTTTGTTCAAAGCTTTGCTAAAATGTCACCTTGCCTGCAACACTTTTTGTCTGCCTAATTAAAATTGCAACTCTTCTTCCCTGTTTTTCTCCACATTATTTGCCTGACATAATACATTTATATATACATACACACACACACACACACACACACACAAACACACAC